GCCTATTTAGTATAGGCTATAACTTTTTTACAAAATTTTTTACCCCCAAACCATTATAAACATGTTGTAGTGTATTCATTTACCTTTATAAAAATGTATAACACCTTGGGTATATCATTATATAGGTACAACAATCTCTGAATGTCAGAATCGTCATTTTAGGACATGATGCTAACAAAATACAACCTTTTATGAACACTATTTCACACAATTCAGTAATATTTATGCATGAAGATTACTGTTATACACACACACAACACTTCACTAACACTAACACTACGAACTAATAACATATTTAGTAATAAATCGCGGATAAAACTATTACCGGCAACAACACAAACAAACAATGGCAATACAAGACAGCTGACAGACTGTAGCAGTAATGACTCACTTCCGTCGTCTACATGCGAGCATACAGAAATAACCCTGAGTGCAGGGCTGCCACTCTCTGAATCTAAATTTCTTCCTCTTCAAAATGATATACTATATGACTAGTAATAATAACTTTCACTGTATATAATTCGTATTTTCCATACTGTCACCAGACGACTGTTGGCCATTTGTTAGAAATTTCGAAAACAGCTGTTTTCATAAAATCGTACCGATTGTGCAATCAATATTTAGTTATAAATATCACTACCACAATGAAGATAAAATCAATGGCTATCCAGTGGTACCACCCGCAACATCCCAAGACGAAAATTACCCGAGCAGGGTAATGCCAAACAAGACGTGTTTTGCCAGTTCCCAAGTGTCGGCTGCAAAAGTCGTACCGTGCCAAAATTTCATTTGATTTCTAATCGTCGTGACATTGTTATATACCTGCTACAGGGTTTGTTTTATGTAATCAAATGAAAGTTCAGAATGTGATCTTTCGAATGGTATATATATTATTCTCATCTGAGTTGATTGTAAGTGTTTTTTTTACCGTTAAAAAAATTTCGGCCCATACCGTCACCAGACGACATTGGCCATTCTAAGCATCAACGTCATACCGTCACCAGACGATGGTTGGCCACTGCTAGGGTTAAACTTGTGTTTAAAAGTTGTTTCTAAGAACATTCAAGCAATACCTTCAAAAAGACCTATAGTCTAATCTTCAACATAAAAATGTTTGCAATTCAATAGCCTACAACCCAATTTGTGAATGTGCCCCTGTTGCATGTTGCATGAACTAATTGAAGTCAATAGCCTATCATATGAACTGTGTAATTTCCATTGTGAAAACAAACATTAATGTTAACAGTGCCAGTATGCACATTTTCAACTAAACAGTGCCAGTAATGCACATTTTCAACTAAATAGTGCCAGTATGCACATTTACAGCTAAACTGTGCCAGTATGCACATATTCCCAACTGAACCAATATTGTTCAAACAAAAATAAACTGCTTGCATCCTTTCAGCGAATTTCCCTATAGGGAAGTAGCTATTACCGTAGGTGGCACGGTAAGACCTAGACCCGTGATCGATTTACTTTTTCATTTTGATGTCCCCAGAGGCCAAAAACACTATTCGTTCAAATTTTTATATATGTATATATATATATATATATACGTCCGTGAACGCGATAACTTGAGTAATTTTTGTCCGATTTTGATGAAATTTGGTTTAAAGGTGTAAAGCGGGATAAACTTGAATGAGTTCGCGAACCAGCACGATCGGACCATGGGAACGGGGCTTTACGGGGGGTTTTATGGGGTAAAAATTGGTTTTTCTCACTTTTGACCCTCAAAACACAAAATTTCCCAATTTCTCTTTAGACCTTTTTAAAGAGCTTAAAAAAACAAATAATTTAGTATATAAAAGTATTTTTGTTTGATTATTAGTAACGGAGAAAATTAAAAAAATTGTAAATTTAAAATTCCCATGTTATTCTTATGGAGAATATTGTCAAATGTTGTAGTTTGCTTGTTTATGAATATATTTTGATCAAACTTGGCAAATTTATTTATTTTGTACTAAGCTATCAATATTTTACTCAATAACACACTTTATTAGTTTCCTTGTAGCAGCAAACCTAGGTACTCGTTAAACCTAATGTTATTAAAATATATTTAACTGAAAATCAATTCAGACAAATGGAAATTCGCTTAGTCGGCAGGTTTGCTGCGGCGGGGGTATTTAAATAGTCAAATAGGCTAGGCTCAATTAAATAGGTACTTGTCATTATTACAATATTAAGTTTAGGCCTAGTTAATTCATTCTATTGGTAGGCCATACTAACTGCTTGGATTTATTTTATTGTTAACAACTTTTTGACCTCATTTTAGGTATTTTATTGTGTTCATTCTGTTCGGTAATTCTTTACTTCAAAGTATTCTTCCTTTCTTTTCTCTACTAGGCTACCTTTGTACATGTTTATGTTACTTAAACTGATAGACCTACCTTCTCATTGTTATGCCATATTCCACTGAAGAATAATTAACTTGAATTCATGTCAGTATAGGTCTACTTGTTTTTGTTTTAAAATAAGTTAGGCTACTTGAATTTTTACAAACAATTACACAAAGATATTCTTTATTCTCAACATACATTATGACTTCAATCAGGTATTCTACATTTACCAAACAAGCCAAACTCACAAAAGTTTGTTTAACTCAGCTGGAATCTCAAGTTAATGCGCTTCAAGTAATTGGTTCCGAAGAATTAACTGAAGTTCAAATTGAAAAAATTAGGGCTATTAAAGAAACCGCCACTAGAAAAAATACCGAGTTTGAATCTACCATAACTAGACTTTTTAATTCAGACCCCATATCTGAAGACATCGATGATGATCAATTCATCCAATTGAAAGATGAAATCAATGATTTATTTTTGAGAATTCACAGTGTATGTACTGTACTTGCTCCGGTCAATAAACCCAATTTAGAACAATCCCAAACAATTAACACTACTTCTGAAATAGCCTCTTCTGGTCTTCGTCTCCCTCGAATTGATCTTGGTATCTTTTCTGGTCAACCCGAAAAATGGATCTCCTTTTGTAACTTATTTGAAAATTCCATACATAAGAACTCAAACATTACCGATGTAGAAAAATTCACCTATTTATTGTCATTTCTCAGTGGTGAACCTCTAAATCTAATCAAGGGGTTGCCAGTTACCACAGCCAACTATCACATTGCTTGGGAGCAACTCCATCAACGTTACAATAATTCAAGGTTGCTAATTACCCTACATGTCAACAACATTTTAGATCTTCTCTCAATGCATGGTTGTTCTGTTAAGCAACTTCGAACATTTGTGTCAACATTTCAAGAAAAGGCTAATGCTCTTTGCGCCTTAAATCATGACATCTTGTCTGAAAGTTTGATATTAACGATTCATCTTCTACGTAAATTTGATTATGACTTTAGGAAGAAATTTGAGCATAGCCAAACAGACTTACAAACACCACCGACAATTAAAGAACTTCTCGGTTTTATTGAAAAGGAATGAACTGAGTTAGAGGCAGCAAACTTAGCCCACACAACTTCCAAAAGTTTCTCTGGTTACTCAAAATTCAATCCTAAAAGTCTAATCAATTCCATAACTCAAAGTTGACAACTTCACAGACTAAAACTGTTCTTTTTTTTCCACAAATATGGATCAGCAGACTTGTGTACATTGTAATAAAAGTGGTCATACTATTTACAAGTGTGATGAATTTGTTAAACTTACTCCTGACAAACGATTGACAGCTGTTAAAAACAAATAACTATGTTGATGGCAGATAAAGACGATAATGTCTACACGACCAAGGGAGGTGTACATGATTTTACCGTGATCGTGGAAGACTATGATGTTTCCGTTACCGCGGGGAATATTCAGGATTTTGCCGTGACTGCAGGCACAAGAGGGATTATCAAAATCTTTTAGTGATCACGGGAGATTATGATGTCTACACCACCGCAAAGACAACAATGATATCCACACGACCATAGGAGATGATACGAATTTTGCTGCAATCAGAGAAGACTACAATAATTTCCACATGAAATAACACCACATTTTTCTGTGATTCCAGAAGACGACGATAAATGTATCCACGACAACGGGAGATGATCAAGATGTTACCTCAAGTATGGCTTGATCGAAAATCTCAGGCTGGCACACCTCTTAGTTATAATACAAATTTATTTTTAATTTCTTTTCTAAATCTTTATTTACCTTTGATATGGTAGTTCTTTTATGTGTTTAGAAGGGTATAAACTTAAATTGGCTAGTTAGAATTTTTCATTGCAGCATAATTTTTTTTCTTTACTTGAAAAACAACCCGTTTTCTAAAAATACTTTATGAAAGGACATAAAGACAGAGGTTGGTGTAGTATAACCAATCTATTAAAAAAATGTGGTAAAACTATAAAGAAAACGTACTGGTTATATATATTACTTCTTTACTTGACCTACTTTAGGAATGTAGAAAAATAGTACCTAAATATATATTTAGATGGCGTCCCTAGCCCCACCCACTGCTGTGCCAGGCCAAAACGTCTGTCACTTTCTGGATAGCCCTCGTATTATGAATAATTAACATAGTATAGATAATTAGAAGTTCGATAATATTAACTAATGTTAAATAAAGGGAGGTAAAAATTGACTTAAAGGATTATTAAGCCTTAAAACAGTATTTTCTGCTGAACATTCTTGTTAATTAATATTTGAGAAAACTAAACAGTTAGCCTACCTTATTTACTAACTGCACTGGAAATAGACAGAAATCAGAAATCAGAAATCAGAAACTTTTTATTGCCGTAATTTGCAAGGTACATGCATATGACAAAGTCAACAACAAATGAGGTTCAAGTTCAACCAAGAAAATAAAACTAGATACCGGTAAAACATAACAAACTGCTTAGAGGTTAGGCCTACTAGCTGAACTGAGAGGTGAACATGAACACAGTAAAATGAAAACAAACAGATAAATCTTGGGAACGATTGAATCACAAAGAGTAGTTCATACTGGAGGCCATTGGAAATACATTTTATATTAGCTTCAGAGAATAGTGGCCGGGTACTTACTGTGATGAGGAACATGAGACGGCATCCACAGCGGCATGTGCCTGTCACTAGGGGTGGGGGGAGGCTGGGAGTGAGAGTCCCCTGCTGACACATCAAGCCATGCAATGTAACACAACCATGCAAAACAAAACTGTCAACTGTGAAGCAACAAATAATACAGAAACTGTTGATACTCATCAAATTAATTGTTTATTTTTAGATGATTTTTCAAACGATATGTTATGTTGTTGGTTTTATGAGATCGTTGATACACTATACAACATATTAATAGGATTTTTTTTCCGGTTTGGACAACTGAATTATTAGGTTGATGTGAGTCACATAAAAATTTGCAGCTGTTGGTAAAAGAATTATACTTATTGTATTCAATAGTTCTTTAGGCCTACGTTAAAGGCATATTCTCTTATTTTATCTTAAAACAACAAGATGCAACGAGTTTCCCTAAGAAAGGAAGTAACAGCTAGTACTGTGCTACTTTACCAAGCAATGATTGTAGATCTGCAACTTTTACAAGGATTGTAGTTTGTAGCTATAGCATACTACATTTTTTTACTAACTGTTACATGTGAAAAGAATAAATAAGAGATTCATTCAGTTAAAAAACTGGGGGACTCAATCTTCAGTAAAACTTTACGACATCTAATCATTTTAAAGAAAAACTAAAAATTTAAGTTACACATTGAAGGTTTACTGATAAGTGCTGGTACAGACAAAAAACACAGATAGACAACAGTGACTAGGTATGGATTGCTAACCTTGCTGTGGGGAGTAGACGTACTGAGCTGGAGGATGTTGCACTGTACCAGAGTCACTGTCCACATCCATATCACCAGTAGAGGAGGGTGGAGGAGGGGCAGAAACCACCCCTGCACCGGCACTGTACTCATCCTTGATCAACCTGCTGGGTTGTAGACTGAGACCCGACAGATCAGCACAAGGCAGGGCTGTCACAAGGTAACAAAGTATAGAATAACCAGGGTACAGTAGACACCTTTTAACTCTTAGCAGGCCCTGGATCTACAATCTCTCAGATTAACTTGCTCTGTCCAGGTACAAATAGATTCAAGACATTAAGTTTCAATCTTCATCGCTGTTATACAGAAAAGTCTAGGCCTAATATTGATATTTACCATGTAGGAAAAATTTTAAAAAAGAAAAACTGACTTTCTCAAATGAAGTATGTTTACAGCATAGTCGCCTATTTTAATCTACCTTTTAGGTTATTTGTCCCAGACTTGGTCTTGTGGGCGTAGGTATGAGAGGGTGTCCTGTATCTAATTCTGATAGATCCAGAATTGGAGTTTGATTGCAAAAACATAAAATCCTGGTTTTTAGTTTAACCTACATCTAAGTGTTTGTTTGCAATTCATAAACAAAGTTATTTATAAATATCAGATTTAGACTTTTCCAAAGTTTTTCACTGTTATCAGATTATCAGATTGTATGGATTAAACAATTGTTGATTAAAAACTAAATCTTGAAAACAAAATGTCAGTTGGCTAGTCGTTTCTGTGGGTGCAAAAAGGTGTTTTTAAGAATAAAAAACTAAGCAAGGGATCTATCAATATTATTAATACGCTACATGAAACATTGTGAATAAGGTTTTTTTTTATATCACCCCACATATTATATACCAAAATGTTCGTCTAGGTGTGTAGATTTGCAAACTGGCCTTACACTTTAGAAAAGGTCCCTTAGGCTCTGCCCCAGTGGCTTTTAAAGTTCCCATGTTATCCTTATGAAGACAATATTTGTTTACATTATGTACACAATTTAGCTGGATAATTTAATTATTCCTGTTAATATTATAGTTGAAATTTAAGAAAACGTGTGCTACAAAGAATCATATATAAAGGGTGCGGCAAAAAAACCGACCTATTTTCTTCGGTGCACTGTTCAGCAACAGGCCCGTCTGAGGGTAGTGGGAGTAGGCTCGTTGGATAGCCTATACAATGCCATTTTTAATTTTTTAAGTGTGCCGAAGAAAATAGGTCGGTTTTTTTGCCACACCCTGTATATTAAAACGTGACAGGGTTTTTTATTTCACGATTCTGAATCAACCACTTGACGGATTTTCATGATTTTTGTGTTGAAAGAAGGATAGTTTTGAGAACTAGGGAATGTCGAAGCCATAATTTTAGTTTATTTCACGATTCTGAATCAACCACTCAGGGCCGGATCTAGACAATTTTTGAGTGGGGGCAAACTAAAATTTGCCGCCCCTCCCCCCCCCCCCCTTCACCCACAACAAAAAATCCCTCACAAATTCCCCTTCTTCTTCTCTTTAGCTGATTTTTTGTACAGTCCAACCTCAGTGAAGGGACCGAACTGAATATTCGTTATATCAAGGATTTCGTTAAAATGAGGTTCGTTATATAGAGGTTAGGTTTGCAGGAATTTCGCTAAGTCGAGGTTCAGAACCAGCGTCGGTCAATATAGGCTGTGATTTGACCTCATTAAAACACAATTACAGTAGCATAGGCTACAATACTTTACAGTACAGTGTTCATTGTACAGTAGAACCTTCTGTATCCAATAGTCAATGGTAGAACCTAAATTATCCAGCATAATAAAGGTGAGGGATCTTGAATATTGCGCAATCATGACAATGGTATTGACCTTGGTACAGGATAAAGACTGTAAGTTTAAAATCACAGCTTGTTCTAACCCTCCCAAAACCTATCCAAACACTACATTGCGTAGTCATAAACCATGTAAAAAACAAAACAAAACAGTAGAAAGTTTTGTAAGCTACTGACTGCTCCGTGATACGTGATAGGCCGGTCCGGTAGGCTACTTACAGTAAGTTACAGTACTATTTTATCACAACAGAGGAATGTCAATAATAATCATTAACTATAGCATTGGTGTTGCTAGTTGAAACAAATCGTATTGAAAACAATAAATTATTAGATAAATCATTATAAAAGTGCATATTAATAGCCAACTTAAAGATAATAAAAACACTCGTAAATTAAGGAGTGTTAAAATAACGATGTTGCTATTCTTTCTCTTTGCTTTTGTTTTTATATTCTTTCTTAGATTTCTCTTTATCCAAAAAATGTACAATTCTCCATATTTACTTATCACCCAATCACAGCTTACTACAGATTACGTCGTCATCAGTCCTCACTCCTCCTCAGTGAATGAAATCAGTTCTCAGTTGCAACATAGCATGCGCAGCGACAGCAGACAGAGAGATGTGTAAAACGGAGCAGACGAATGTTAGCGCAAGCGATGACGTCACCTTTCCATTTAATTTGATAAAGAAACAGATTTTCCAAAAACAATACTGTGGTGGGGATTTGTTATATCAAGGGAAAGACGTAGACAATTCGTTATTAAGAGGTTAAATTCGCAATGTAGAGGTTCTGACAATGATAAATTCGTTATATTGAGGTGTCTTATTTTAGCCGAAATCACGAAAAATTCGTTAAATCAAGGTCGTTGTTATGGTTTGTTCGTTATTTAGAGGTAAAATATACATAGTCTCTTATGGAGAGTTCTAGGGGATTAAAAAAATTCGTTATATCAAGGAATTCGTTATATTGAGGTTCGTTATATCAAGGTTAGACTGTACTGTGCTCCAGTAAGCCTTTTTCGACCATCCATGTTATATTAAACAACAAGACAACAGTAAAAAGAAGTAAACATTACATTATTACCAGTGCGATAACAGATGATAATTATGCATGTAGAAGGAAAAAACTAGACGACAGCAGAAAACACGGAACACAGTAGTTGCACTACGCAACGCAACAAAAGACGCAGTAGTTTTGATATACATTGAGGCGGGTATATTGTTGAGGCAGGGCGGCATGGCGCCTTGACTGGGATGGCGATCAGCTGAAATTGTAAACAAACTTTGCTGTGCTGCTAACTATGCTATTAGGGCTCTCAGTGTTTTCTACTCTGTTGCAATTTTATATTGATTGCTATTGTAAAATTATTGTTTTTTTATTACGTTATGCAGTTTTGAAATTACTTAATTGACGTTCCTTATGATGTTTGGCTCATTAAAAACTTTTACAAACTGTATTAAACAAATTTTCTGCAACCAGAAATTTGCCGCCCCTCAACCCTGCCGCCCGGGGCAACCGCCCCCTCTGCCCCCCCCTTGTTCCGGCCCTGCAACCACTTGACGGATTTTCATGATTTTTGTGTTGAAAGAAGGATAGTTTTGAGAACTAGGGAATGTCGAAGCCATAATTTTAGTTTAGGGTTTCAGTTTTTTAGAAATAAAGTTTTAAATTTTAAAAAGTCTAGCAGCCGACACTAACATTCTACTCTAGATTTTGGTATAATACCATTTACTTGACGTAACAGCTGTAAACATTCAGCGTTTTCGACACAAATTCAGCATTTGGATTAAAATGAAATGACATGCCCTACTTAGAAATGACTTATTTATACTACAGTAGAACCTCTTTAATCCGAACCCCCGTAATCCGAACCTCCACTAATCCGAACCCCTCATTGCTGTACTCTATACACAGTACAGCAGTTCTTTATTGTATACTGTATTTAATTTACAGTACTGTTTATTCACCATGTTAACTACATTATTAAATAAACACTGTATTTTACTTTATAAAACATTTTTTCACTATTCCCAAAATAATGTTGATCAATTTTAGCCATGTTTTAGCTATTGTTATGTAAAAACAACAATATGTTCTGTAATCCGAACTATTCAATAGTCCAAACTACCCCTGGTCCCAATTGGTTCGGATTAAAGAGGTTCTACTGTATGTGTAATGCTATAATCATTGATACGTTCATTTATTCGGTAAGAGGATGAGTTTATTAAAATATTCATGGTAAAATACTAGGTGTTCTAATTTATTTTTTGAGCAGTCTTAAAAAAATATTTACTTTGTTTCAGTGCAATATAATTTGTTATAACTAACAGCTGGTTGAATGAAAAAATATTCTATAGAACTATGAGGTTAGTTTATTTACTCTGTGATTTTGTCATTGATTATAGGAAATAAGTAACATTCTATAACCATTGCTGTATACAAATCGAAGCTCGCGAATCTTCAAAAGAAAGCTTATGAAAATTATTTTAATACTGTACTTGACTTTTTGAGGAAAGGTTGGAGAAATGACAATGATCACATGTTTTAATTCATCTTGGCAGCTTTTTCTTTACTATAAATTTTAAACTGCTTAAACTATGCTTGAATTAGTAATTGGCACACTATATACAGATTTGATGGACTGCTCGATTCCCATACGTAGGACGGGCCAACAACTCGTATATATTAAAACGTAACAGGGTTTTTTTATTTCACGATTCTGAATCAACCACTTGACGAATGTTCATGATTTTTTTTGAACTAGGGAATGTCGAACCCATAATCTTTGTTTAGGGTTTCAGTTTTTCAGTTTTAGAAAATAAATTTAAAACTTTTAAAAAGTCTAGCAGCCGACGCTAACATTCTACACTAGCTTTTCGTATAATAACATTTGCTTAACGTAACAGCTGTAAACATTAAGTGTGTGTGACACTAGCCCAAGCAAAATAGGAAAAATTGAGGAAAAAATCCAATTTTTTTTTTAATGTGTCGGGGAGGGTCCCCTAATGAATACAGCCCCCGCCCTTGCTAGTCTGACAGGTACGGGACTCACGTAGTGTCAGATTTTCAAAAACGTCGGATTATCAAAAATGGCTATTCTGTAATGCATTTGATTGCCAAAAAGATATAACTATCATTTTAAACAATGTATTAATCACCATTAAATTCTTGGGAAGAATTAAAAACACAGAATAAAGGAAACACAATTTTAATTTATGTAGCTAAACTTATTTTACAGTGTTACAAACAGTACTGTACGTACATCCCAAAAAATATGCATAAAAGTACACAATTCATTAAAAAAGTAGGCCCCTGTAAAATTAATACATACGTGTTTCAGCACGGTATTTAGTTGCTGAAAAAGTCTGTGAGCTGCCGATACAGCTTCATCACAGCTGACGGTGAAGGTTTTTTCTGGCGCTGCGTCCTCGATCACGTCGTCATCAGCTGCTGTAACTTCCAGGATTATATCTGCGTCTGTCACGTCAGCATCAAGGTTGTCCTCCATGATCCATGTTCTAAGCTCTTCAACTGATGCGGGGGCAAGTTGCACTTCGTTACAAAGTTCCAATGTAGCCTCCAAAACGGGTTCTGGGCAGCTGCTGGATGTAGGATTACATGTTGTAAGACATGGATTGTTAGGCCATACATTTTTCCAAGATTTGATCAAAGTTATGCTTTTTACTTGTTGCCAAGCATATGCAGCGTTCAAAATGGCGTCCTTAATGTTAAAAGCTTTCAAAATCGCTGCAATATCAGCATCAGGTTGACTGACAACATCCATAAGAATGCGCTTCTTGTAGTGAGCCTTGAGAGTTTTTATCACATTTTGATCCATGGGCTGGATTAAAGCTGTGGTATTTTTTGGTAGGTACATAGCTTCAATGTAGCAATCAGCAGTTTTGATTTTCAATTCATCAGCATCAGGATGTCCTGGTGCATTATCCAGTAAAAGAAGGGCTTTCATTGGTAACTTGTTCTTCTTTAATTCAGCCTTAACTTGTGGAACGAAGCTGTTAGTGTACCAGTCATGAAAAACTTCTTTTGTGACCCAAGCACGACTTTGTGACTTGTAAGTTACTGGCAGAGATTCAACCTTGACATTTTTGAATGCTCAAGGGTTTTTTGATTTTCCTACAACAAGCAGTTTTAAAGCATGAGTGCCTGATGCATTAGCACACACCATAAGCGTGAGTCGTTCTTTTTGCAATTTCCTTCCTGACACTTTTTTTTCCTCATCACTTACAAATGTTTCTGCCGGGAGCTGTCGCCAATTCAACCCGGTTTTATCTGCGTTGCACAGTTGCTCGGGAACTACAGTAGAACCCCTCATATCCGGCCTTGGTTTTACCGGTCCTCTGTTTATCCGGCCCCTTCCAGGAAGCCAATATCAAAATTTTTTTCTCACAGCTTACAGACGTTTAGATGCAAGCACTAGTATTTGTGACTGCTCAAGTCATAAAATAAATTGTTCTCAATATTTATCTGTTTGTTTATTCATTTATTTGCTGAGTCACTATACTCAGTTGAGCTAGTAGGCCTAACCTCTGATCAGTTGGTTGATTATTTCACAAGTGGGTTTAGTACAGTACAGTACGAGTACATTAATTTTTGTATTTCACAAAATGGTTAAGAATGTTGAGTAGAAATACAAGTAGGCCTACCATTTAAGTCCTAATGATCTTTAAGTACAATTTATTGTCATTTTTACCTCCATTTAATATGTTTTGTTACCTGGAATCATAATATTTGTACATTCATTACTTAATGACTTTAACCTACAAATATTTTTTTCCTTTATTACAAACATATGTTCATTTTTCTAAAAATAATCCCAGGACAGAATTAAATGATACTTTTGATTGCATATTATATTGATTACCTATTATTATTAGGTAAGAATTGTCATTTTCATAGTAAGTTGGTTTATCCGGCCAAATCGTTATCCGGTCAGGGGCTTGGTCCCGTGGTGGCCGGATATGAGGGGTTCTACTGTAAACCAAGCTCAGTAATTTTTTTGTCCAACATTTCAATGAACGCATCAATCTCAGACTTGTCAGCAGATACCTTGTCACCACACATCTTCATAAATTGTATACCATGGTGTTTTTTGAAGTTTTCGAACCATCCATGACTAGCTCGAAAATCATTCTTCTTCGTTATTTCTGTGTAGAAATATTGAGCTTTTTGTTTAAGTATGTCTCCAGAAATAGGAACATTCCGTGTGGGTTGTTTTTTAAACCAAATGAACAGTGCTTATTCCACCTCAGGAAACTCGCTTGTTCTCAGGGTTTTCCTGTTTAAAGCGTCGTCTTCCACAGACTTCATAAACCCTTCAGTTTTTTCTTTATTCTTCATTATATCATAGATCGTAGGCCGTCCGATTTCATAAAATTTCGCTACTGCAGTCGGCGTTTCACCGCTATCTATTCTTTTAATAATCTCCCACTTCTCCGATATTGTTAAAGTTTTGTGTTTCCGTTTAACACAACTTGCACTAGCCATTTCACACAACTACAACTGTACTGTACACGAACACTTGCACTTACTAACAAAGAAAATACCACTGCACTGGGAAAGTGTACTGCACGTCCCGAAAGTCAACTGAACACTGAACAGAAGTGCTCCGACGGCAACGAGACGTGAGTCACAGTGTTTCATGTCACTGCACGCTTGATTTTTTGCTCCCGTAGCAGGTCGGATTTCAAAGCGTCGGACTAGCGAGGGCGGGCTGTATATGATAGGTGAGAATAAAATAACCTTGTCGCTCTGGGTGGGGGGAGGTGGGAGGAGCAAATGCTCAAATTTGCGGTTTTTTCTTATACAGTAGAACCTCGCTAGTCCGACTCCTCGCTTGGTCCGACCGTTCCGCCAACACAATAGGCTTCCGCTAACATAACCTCATTGTCCAAGAAAAATACCCATAAAACTTTATAAATTGTGTTTTTTTTTTTTGTCTAATGTGTTGAAATTTGTTGTATACTTAACCATGTCTGTCCATTATTAATATTAAGTAGGCTCCCACATTATTGTTTTTGGAAAATCACCGTTCATTTGACAAAAATTAAATGGAAGCAAATTAAAGGAATGCCGATTAAAGCTACAAGGTCAAGCTATCCGTTTGCATTGACAATTGTCTGCTCCTTAGGCCTACACACGGCACATCTGTCTGCTGTGCGCTTGCTATGTCACAACATTTTGTGATTGGGTATTTGGCAATAATGACAACTTTAGTAGCCTGTGATTTGGTGTTTAGTAACCATGGCAACTTGTTGAATGGGTGGATGAAGATAAACTGAAGAAAGAATAGAAGAACAAATAAAAAGAATAAGCGATGTTTTTATGACATTGTTATCTTTATCGGTGTATTTTACGACTGTTGTTATGCTATAAGTAGGCTACTATTATTTTAGGCTATACTTTTTTTATGCGTTATCTAATGTTTTTATCGACATTCTTCTGTCCTGAAACAGCGTAGCAGTAGCCTAAAACTAGCAGTAGCTTACTAGAATTTATAATGTTCTGTTCTTTATTTTGCTGTACAATGTTTGGTAATTTGTTTGTTTGACTAAAAGTTTGAAAAAGCTGTGATTTTAAACGTTACGGTTTTTATTACTGAACCAAGGGTAATGACATAACATAATTATCATGATTGCGCAATAGCCTACTAATTGTATTTTTATGATGTAATATGCAAATTATTACATTAACGTCCATTTAGTTTACGAGTTGGAAATAACTGTTTTATGTCATGTTGGATTAACCGTGGTTATCAGTTATCCAAGGTCTTTTCAAAATACAGTTTAACTACGTTTTTATGTCAATAAACGCTCCTCTGATAATCCAAACTTTTTGCTGTTCCGACCATGCTCCCTGTTCCGTAGGTGAAAGATTAGCGAGGTTCTACTGTAACTTGAAAATGGCATGTCAGTGTTAAAGTTAAAGCTAGTATTTAACATATTTCTAGATTTAATAGTACCAAGATATGTCTATCCAAACAGAACAAAATTAATTCTAAAACCATTTATTGTACATTGTATAATTTTACCCGGACAAAGTCAGATTTTGCTGCTAGTATTTATTAAATCTGAACACACTTTACCTATTCCAGGGGAAACAACTCTTTCATAGTGGTAAGGATTCACACAGACTGAATCACATTTGAGATCAAAAGCAAACTGGCAGTACTTGACATGTTTGAGTTCGTTCTTGTGGAGATCAGGCCACCGCCAGATGCGAGCATAGATTACATGTGGAAATCCCTTCCTGCCTGCAACCTGTACCAAAGCGACACTATAATAATAGATTATTATAATAAAACAAAACATGCAAACTGAAAAGCCAACATAGAGACATTTGTTTTGAATATTCCTAATAGGCCTACAATCATAATATTGTTGAATTGTTGATTTTATAATTAAAATTTACTCCTGGATTTTTTTGTACACCATAGTCCTGCTAATCTGGTCATCATCACTTATTTGTTATTTCATACCACTACGGTTGCATAAAATTGCTATTGATTTTTTGGGATTTATGTTTTGATGTTGATATTTTGTCATTTATATTGATATCTCCTATGTTTACTACTGATGATGAATTGAATTATCTATGTACGTAATACAAAAAGGCTTTTCCCTGTGACATCCCGCCTGTCCTACATAACAATTTTTTATGATTAAGGTATTATTTTAAAGCTTAAGAGCTCAGAGCAAAGATACAAATGATAACTAAAAATTTATGTTTGTTAAGTGCTTCACTCCCTTAGTATGTCCGTGTATTATTTGTATATTGTTTGTTGTATATTGTTTGTATATTAGTATTTGACATATTTTTTAATACAATTTTAAACTTTCTGCTAAATGCTGACCAACTTTCTTTAACAGTTTTACATGTGAATTGTAACTAACAACAGCTGATCCTTCAGTTTAATGTTTAACCACAGTCAGATAGTAAACAAGAGACGAAACAGGAAAAAAAAGGATGAAAATGCCTAGTCTACTTTTAGTGATCGTTGTAATTGAGGTAGGTAAATTAATTACTCTTAATGGTATTGATCTACAGTTAACCAATTTAATTTATTTTAAATTAGTAGTTTTGTCTGATAATACAATCATGATTCTACCAGCAGATAAAGGTAGGGCGGCAGTATTATTAGGTAAAAGTGACTACACTAGCAAAATGAAGGAACTCCTAGAAGGAGGACAATATACCTGTTAATGAATAATTAAATATATAGATAATGTTAGTTAACTTATATACAGGGTGGTAAAAAAGTCCCAGGGCAGTTAAATATTTTAAAAAATAATGTAGATAGAGCTATAATACTTGGTACAAAGTTACAGGGCATAAAACTCTATTTTAACACATATTCAGTGATCCAATAACTCTTCAGGGGGACGGCCCACAAGGAGTCGGAAAAGAATCTTAAATGGAAGCATAGGTCAATATGCACATACAATTAAAGGTCTTTTTTAGTAGAATACAATGCCGCAAACCGTTCTTCAAAAGGTTGGTCCTGCGCAAAATGGCAGATGTTCAAAGATTTCTTGAATCTGCCATTTTTTACTCAGGCATTCTTTTGAGCTTGAATTTACGGCATCGTAATCTACTAAAGAAGACCTTTAATTTTATGTGCATATTGACCTATTCTTCCATTTAAGATTTTCTTCCGACTCCTTGTGGGCCGTCCCCCTGAAGAGTTATTGGATCACTGAATATGTGTTAAAATAGAGTTTTATGCCCTGTAACTTTGTACCAAGTATTGTAGCTCTATCTGCATTAAATTTTAAAATATTTTACTGTCCTGGGACTTTTTTACCACCCTGTATGTTATGTCCATTGATTAATCTTTATATTTCTTCTGTATGATTTATTTGTGAAGATTAACTATCACATGTTAGCGAATTTCCCATATAGGGAATAAGCTATTACCGCAGGTCTCATGGTAAGACCTGGACCCGAGACCGATTTACTTTTTCGTTTTGAGGGCCCCAGAAGCCAAAAACACCATCCGTTCGAATTCATATATATCCGATATATCCAATTTTAACCCTCGAGCTGGCATGCCCGGCAGCGCCCGATATCAGGCGCTTTTTGTAACGGAATTCGCCGATTTTTGTACGAAAATGAAAAAAATTCACTTAATATAGTATTTATTCGGTTCAGAAATGAATAATCTGTCAATTGATGTGCATTTCAACTATTTAAACGCCTTTGGGAAAACTTAAAAGTCTATGAAAATAAAGCATCAGCTGACGACATTGTCATGGTGACGCAATCGCCTATTACCAGCGTCTGTTGTTGTTTATTTCGCGTTGTGTTTGGTTAGTTTCGGTGTTTTTTCGTTATAAGTTTTATTTTTTATTGAAATGTGAGTTGATTTCACTTCAAGATGAATGATTGTAACTACTGTGACCGATCTAGTGAGTTCCAATTCTAAGTAGCGAGGAGACATGCAATTCAAGTACTAGGCCTAGTGTAGGTTGTACACCGAATATGTATATAGTAATAAAAACTGTTATATGTATTTTTTTTAGAAACAAGGTACATGTATTATATATCATTCTTTTCTTCATGGAATTCTGCACAATTTGTATATTTTGAAAAATTTTCTTGAGTTCATTGATTTGTGTTATATTACGGAATTATATATGCATATAAATAAAAAAAAGTTTACGCTTAGTAAATATACTAAAAAATCTTTTTTGTAAATTAAAATTTCATATTTAAAATTTATATAATATTATTCCTTGTTTTTTGCTGAAAAAAATGATATATAATATAATGTGTTTTCTAGGCTATTTATATATTTTTTAAGTGTTTTAAAAAATGGTTGCGCGGCGCCTAAAAAACCCTTGCCACTACAGAGTAAAATTACTGCCAGCTATAGGGTTAATGAAATTTTGTATAAACGTGTAAACCTACATTTATTCGAACGAGTTCGCGAACCAGCATGATCGGACCATGGGTCAGAACGTGGGTTTATGGGGGGTTTTATGTGGTAAAAATTGGTTTTTCCCATTGTTGACCCTAAAAACATAAAATTTTGCAATTTCTTTCCTAACAATTTTGTAGAGCTTAAAAAAAAAATAATAATAGATGAGTGAGGCAGTTAGATAAATGGGAAGGGAGGAAAACAGGCCCACGTCGTAGGAAGTGGGGAAGGATTTGGTAAATGCGAGAAGTTCTGAGTGTGGGAACAGTTTGTGGTAGTTAGATTAATGTACACTCAATACTAAAATGGTGGGGGAAGGGAGGGAAACAGGTCCACGATGTAGGTAGTGGCGATGGAAGTGATAAATTTAAGCAGTGCGGAGTGTGGGAACCGTTTATGGCATTTAGATTCACTAGTTAGATAAATATATATTGGCTTTTTAATTATTTTTAGATTATATAATAGCGCTATCGTTGTTTATAATACCCCCCTGCGGTTTCGGGATTAGAATAGAACCGCAGCCTTCCCGGGCTTGTCGTAAGAGGCGACTAAAAGGGTGACCGACACTCTCACTGGGAGTCCTTGGGAGTGCCCCTGTTGTGTTTGCAGGGGTTGATGTGTGCTCTGCACTGCCGATGGGTATTCTCAGTGAGTCGTGAGAAACCAGCCACTTCGGTCCTTGGTCAGGGAGTGCGGCATGGATGTAGAGGTCGGGCTCTACATTGTGACGGGTGACCCCCGGCACGTCAGGTATCCGGTGCTGGGAAAACGGAGGTTGGGCCTCGGGGAACTGGGGTAGGGGCGCTGTCCCAAAGGGTATACCCGTTCCTGACTATTCCGGGCCGCCCCTTGCCGCACGATGCGCTGGTAAACACAAGATGGCTTTCATAACAAATACCCTGAACACATCTTTAATAAGTAGCTCGAATGAGCAAGAAAAGAAGTCGGAAGTAGAGCGAGACCCTTTTGGGCGAAGCTCCAAGGTCCAGAGATCGCCAACATTGAAAGGCGTGAAGACGTCCCCACCACCTGCAACTTTCAGGTGTACAAAAGACTTGACTTTAGGATCTCCCTTGACAAGTGGAGAAGGAAACGGTGGACTACCCTCTAAGTCTGGTGAAGGGATGCCGGAGGAATCCCTAACAGCAGCGTTAGATTTGGAAGTGTCGGGAATGGTACTTCTGCGTCAGCAATATCTCGACGCAGAAAATGACATTGAAAACCGGCTTCGAAACATGGAGCAGACCATAAAGGCAATGCTTGAAACCTTTAAGACGCAGAGAGGAGTTAACCAAGTGGTTAAAAATGGTATGGCTAAGCTCGAGGACGACCTTGGTTTTGTCTTCGCCTGCCGGCTGGTGAGCAAGGCGGCCATGGAAAGGATCGCCGAGAAGGTGGTGTCCCTACCTGACGACAATGCGCGACCTTCCAAAAAACGCAGGAGGCCTACATCAGAAAGCCCTCCAAAAAGAGAAGAGGTTGTTCAGACAGCAAAGCCTAAAGTTAAGGTCAAGGCGACCCAGACTTCTAGGTCCTTCTCTGACGTAGTTGCCGCTCCAGCGAAACCTCAACAGCCACAGCAACCTGCGACACCCATTGAGGGTAGCTCCCGAAAGGGGTCAGTCGTAGAAACACCATCTGGGACTGTGTGGGAAAAGCGCCTTACGAAAAAAGAGAAGAGGAAATTGAGGCACGCGGAAGTTGGCTCCAAGACATATGTGGCAGTGAGGGCGCAGTCGACTGGCGTGGCCCAAGCTGTGCCTGGCTCGGCACTCGCTAAAAAGTCGCGGCCCAAAAAGCCCAGGACTGAGGCAATTTTGGTCAAGCCTTTGGAGGGAAGATCATTCGCCGAAGTCTTGGGTGTTATCAAGGCCAAGGCTAAGCCAGAGCAAACCGAAACGGTTGTACGGTCGATTAGACAAACCCGGGACGGGGACGTCCTCCTCGAACTGGGTAAGTCTAAAGATAAAGCCGCCTTTGCTGCCGAACTAAAGGCAGCTGTGGAAGGTCAGGGCACCGTTCGTGCTCTCGAGCCCAAGACGTCCGTCGAGGTTCGGGATATGGATTGTGTGTCAACGGAGGATGACGTCATTGATGCCCTAAAAAAAGCTGTCCCCGAGCTTGCCGGACAAACGGCTAATCTGAGGGTGTGGCTCACGAAACCAAACCGGAGTCAACAGCGGATGGCGGTCGCCGAAATGGCAGACGCAAACGCCAGTAAGGTTTTGGCACTCCAGCATTTGAGGGTTGGATGGGTTAATTGCAGGTTGAGACGGAGGGTGGAAGTAACGAGGTGTTTTAAATGCCTTGATTTCGGCCATTCCTCCCGAAACTGCGAAG